TTTGAACTTCTGGGTGGATATAGATCATGATTGTGTATGTGTTGTGCTTGTTCATTGATGCTTTGGTATGTGCTTTGTTTTTTCGTGCTTACTTTTCACTTTGTTTAAGCCATTATAAATAAAAAGTAAGACCGGATTTGGACTCCTTGTAAAATTCCCTTCAAAACCATGTCCAAGTTTTTAACTTTTGATGCATTTTACAGTCTTCTCCGGCGAGGATGGCCGGAGAAGACGACCGGAGTAGAGTTTCGATGTCCTTTGTGTAAGCTGGGGTGTTTTGATGATGTGTGTTGTTGACTTGCTTGCGTGGCATGTTGATCCATGATGTGGAATGCCACATCGTTTAATGAAACGATGTGTTTCATGGAGGTTTTGATTTTCAGACTTTTGGTTTGTGGGCTGGGTCCATTTTGATATACGCACCCCACATATTCTGGCCCATACGCGTCTTGCCTGGCTTCTTGTTCATTTCCCAACTGTTGATTCACCCCTCCCTCTCTCTTTCTTTTTTTTATTTCACTTTATTTTTATTTTCATGTTTTGATTTATTTTTAATACTTCAAATCATTTTAAAATTCATAAAAATAATTTTCTGTTTGTTTGACATCTCAAGATATTTTTCATGATTTTTATTTTATTTTTCAATTATTTTTGCTATTTTATTTTGAATTAAAATGTGGTGTTTTTTCATATTTATCCTTGGATTAGGGTTTGTTGTTTGATGACCATTGAGACACTTCTTGACCCAATCTTTTTACCATGTTTTGACATATGACTGGTGATTGTTTGAGTGTGGTTTTGATGCTTTGGTGGCCATTCTTGATTACTTTTCATGTAGTTTCATTTGACCCGATTCTTGCTCGATTAGTTGCTTGTTTTGCCTTGTTTGATGCATTTGATGATGCCCCCTTGCCATTCTTGTTTTTATACTTAGCCATATGATTCATAACAAACATGACATGAGTTTGAGAATTTATTTGAATTTTATTTGCTTTTGTTTCTATTTTTTGGTTGGTGCATCAAGTTGTTGCTACTTTGACCATATTTTGTGTATTGACTTGACCTAGTCTTTGGAGTTTGTTTCTTGGATGGTTCAATGGATGCTTGATGATTCTTGTATGCTTTAGTTGACATGTTTGAGTTTCTGATTTTCATGTATGGAGGTTCATTGCATGACCATTTTATCTTATATGCTTCACATGATCATTTGTTTCCTTCATGGGTTAACTTAAGAGACGTTTGCTTGACTTTTGTGCTTCAAATAGAGTTTGTCTCTTCTTGAACTTGATTTTTGATTTGAATTTGAGCATGATGTATATCATATGAGTTTGTTTCTAACTTTGATGGATTGAATCTTGATCATTTATATTCTTGTTGAGTATCTCTTTTCTTTGAGAATGAATTTGGTGTTTGAACTTGTTCTATATGCATGTCTTGTTTTCAAACTATGATTTTCCTTTTGTGTGTTCATGAGTGGATCTTTGACTTGATATTCATTTTGATGTTGCTTCCCACACTTGATTTCACGCCCTTATCTCATGTCTCTTCCTTTAAGGTTATGTCTTGCATGCTTGTTTTGTTTAGCATTGGATTTGTTTATGAGTGTGATGCATGACTTAACTGTTTGCTTCTTCTTTGATCATTGTCATGACTTGGATATGATGTGATGTTTCTATTTCCCTATCTTGTTTCTCATCCTATTTGACTTTATCCCATTTTTCTTAATGATTGATGATGCTTATTGTTAGACATTGAGTCACTTATGTGTGTTTGGGCACTTTGTCTTGCCACTTTGCTTTAACCTCTAATATTTGAGTGTGGCTTGACATATATGCATTCTTATTTCACTTTGACATGATGTGATGTATGCTTTGTGTGTGATTGAGTTTATTATTTACTTGTGTGTTTGTCTTGTCACTTGAGTTAAACTTCCTTGAGAAGTTGTTTGTTGTTGCTTCTTCTCCTTCATCTCATTTCTCTTTCTTCTCTTTCCTTTGAGACTTGTTTGAGTTATGGGCTTTGTTTTCATTTGTGACTGATTAGTGTAGTGTTTACTTGTGTTTGGCCACATGAACCCTTAGGATTCCTAGTCCCTCTGTTTAAGATGGGAGTAGGAGAGACGTTAGGCTTTCAATCCTCTGCATGATAACATTAGGTAGAATTCCTTTTCATCCTAACTTTAGAACCATTTTGTATGATAACATTAGGATTTTCATTTTCCCTTTAGTATTTTCTTTGTGTCTTCTCTTCTTTCTCAAAATAATAATCTTAAGACACTTAATAAAGAATGATGAACGTTGTGCGCCACGAGCCTTAAGTATATAGGAAATGATGAGTAGGGGGTTTCTCCTCACTTGTCTAGAGTCTTTAGTGTATGCCCTTTGGGCGATATGTGACGCATTCGCTCCTATGTCATAGTCTTTAGTGCAACGTGAATCTCACACAAAGTCAATTCACTTCATTAAAACTTCTAGACCAAACTCAAATCTTTTTATCCTTCAGGATCATTCTTCAAACTCATTTTCAGAAAAGAGTATGTTACTTTTCCGTTCTACCGCAAACAGACATCGACCCTAACCGCTGGAATGGGAACTTAACGTCGCTCATAAAAAAAACTTAACCAACCAGTGGTCTAGCTTACCCGAACTACGTTTGCTCTGATTTCTCATACCAGATAAGGATACGTAGGCATAAGACGACGATGTCTTGGAGAGCAACCTTCCCCCCATCACCCGTAGTTTTTCGAACTACGCTGACTCTGACTTTCCCATTACACGAGGGAATACGTAGGCATAGGGCGACGATGTCCTATCGAGTCTCCTATTTCTTTTTCATTCCCCGTTTAACACTAGCATTTAGATAACACACCCTTTAATTAGATAACAAGCGTGGATCCCGTTGAGTACAACGGATGTGAGGGGTGCTCATACCTTCCCCTTGCGTAACCGGCTCCCGAATCCAAGATTTGGTTGCGAAGACCTTGTCTTCTCCTATCTTTTAGGTTTTCTTTGATTGTTTCCTTTCCCTCTCTTTGGGATAAATAATGTTCGGTGGCGACTCTTCTGTTTGTTTTCGCCGGTTCTTTTCGCAGTATGCGACACCCTGTTGGAAAATCATGTAGTTGGATTTGTTGAGGGCGGCGATCAGAGCCGTAGTGCTAGGATCAACGTCTTGAAGAACGGGGATGGGCTTGTAGATGTGATCAGAATTCTGGATGTGGGGTTTCATGTTGTCGGGGGATGGAGAGGCAGTCCTTCCATCCCTGTGATCAGTCTCGTAGACAACAACTCCAAGATGGGGGTTATCGTCGTTATCCAAGGCGACGACGATGACAGAATCTTGAGGGACATCATCGTTATGGTGAGTGGCAATGATGATCGAGGAAGGTTTAGAAAGAAAAGCTTTGGTCTTTGGATTGAAAAGATTGGGGATCTTGGTTCAGGAAAGACGGGGGAGCAAGTTTCCCACAGACGACGCCATTGATCTGGTATGATCAGAATGGATCGTCGTTGTCTTCAACGTAGGGCAGCAACAATGGTTATAGGAGAGGAAGGGGGTGTACCTGCAAGGCACTCTGATGCTAAAGTAAGTAACATGGAGAGAAAGCAAGTACAAAGTGTTTAGGATTATGTTAGAATGAATTGGATACCTGGTCCTCTCAAGTGATAGGGTACTTATAAGAAACCCCAACGCGGGGCCAAGGTCCTCATTGTGGGTCAGGATGTCTGATCCACCAATGAGAGGCTGCCAGGTTTGTAATGAGCAAGGAAGATCTAGCGCATGATCTTTGACTTTGTCAAACTGTATCCGTGAACTCCGGGGGAGGGGGGCAGTTGGTCGCGTGAACTGTGTAGCGCGTGAGGAGGATGTCCCCAACGACTATATTCTCCCTAACGGCTATATTGTGTCCAACAGTCATATTGTGATAATCTCCTTGTTGGGACTTGTCTAAAGCTGGACTGGATTGGACCTTACCCAATTGTGAGTCACCTGCCAGTCCAGTCCAGAATAGCCCCCCTTTAACAAACAAATCAAGCTCTTATAAAAATGTTCGAAAGTCTCCGTATTCCAAAGTCAAATCTTGATTGGAGGCTTTACTGTCAAATAAATCAAATTGATATTTTTTTTTGATAATATAACACGACATTTTGAAGAAAAAAATTTGAAGGAGAGAATTAGAAGATAGGTGAAAATAGTGGAGAAGGAATGATCTATATATAAAAAATCAACATCACAGAAGCCAAAGGCAATGACACATGCTCCTATAAATCGCATGCATGTGCCACATCCATTGGTTATTCTTAAACGCATGCCACACGCATGCAATTTTTTTTTATTTTAAAAAGTGATTATTTAAGAATTTTTTGAAAAAACATGGTTATTTAAAAAAAATCACTGTATGAAATATTTTCTTGTATGCTTTTAATGAAAATGTTATGTTTTTAAATAACCGCCTACTATGTTGGCTTTATAGCATAGCAAAATTTGAATAAATTATTATTTTTTTGCAACATACAATGCGCCATATAGCAATGATAGTGATATATGAACAAACCGCTATTTCTTGAGCAGAGCAGAAATCGACAACACCGAATGAATCAGAAATGTAACAGCAAAAACTCCAATGGCAGAAGAGTAACAAATTTCTTAGTATTAAGTCTAGACTACAAATAAAATCAAATGTGATGTACAACAACAAATAAACGGAATACAATTTTGAGCCGCTGTAGACAAACTTTTGATTGATATCTTCTTGTTATTAAGTAGAATCAACATATATGATTTACAAAATGATTATACAATAATAAAAAATAAAAATGCTTCAAGCTGTTCTCATTAAGTCACAAGATGGCCTAAATCTCTCATGCCAAATCATAAGAGGAACAAACTAGTGACAAGTTCAAACATTTCAAAATAACCTCTGCAAAAGTTTGAATGGAAAAAGAGCATGGTCTTGTTGATGTGCAAATTTTCAAGTGTGTGTGAATGAATGAGACAAGTTAATCTCGCATACCGAGTTCAACCTCAAGTTCATCATCATCTTCAAACAGCTTCAAAAGACGAGCATGTTGTTCTTCTCTCTTCTTCCTTTGCCATAACTTGAAAAGAAAAACACCTGATGCTATGACTGCTATCACACCAAGGAATACAATAAGTATCTTGAGACCCTTAGAACCTTTGGAAACATGTTCGCTCACACCTTTATTTCCACTTTTGGAATCTGATGGGTTGTTGTCGGCTAGGCCTTCAAAGAAAACAAAATTTCTTGTAAGAAATCAAATCAAATAACAAATTTCTCAGCATAGTTTGTTTATTGATTTCCAAGAGTATGCAGTACATAGTGTTACAATGTAAAAATCTATTAAGGCAAAGATTTCTAGCTAGTTTACTTTAGTTTCAGAAGCTGCAAAACCATTGCATAAGCAAGAAAAACTTGCTTTGATAAGTCATAAGAGTGTATCAGTTAGTGCAACTATTCGATTTGTGTTTAAAAGAATCTCGAGAAGCACGATTAGTATGTGTTTGTTTTGGCATCAACATACTCCAAAATACTTGTTTCACCCGTAGCTAATAGTTCTAGATTTCACCTTTAAAAGCCTTTGAATGTGTGCGTCAGTGCCAGAAAAACACTCCAAACAACTTCGATGGTATACACTACAGGATATTTTTATCTTCTTCCAATGGGCTCTACTATGTCACTTCAGTTTTAAGGACAAAACTTAAAAATCATTGGAGCACTTTTCAAGCTGTTAACCTCTTAAAATTTAACAACAATTAGGCCATGTTACATTACATTTGTTAACCTTCCCCATTAGACAATAAGAGCAACACCCTCAGCAACCACTAGATTTCAATATAGACTGTTACTAATACGGCATCAAGCACAATCATGGAGAAACAATTGATACCATTTTTTTATTCAGATTAACGATATCCTTGAAGGAAACCACTCATCGCTTTTTTCTATTTCGTATTTCAACAAGTGGCTGGAAGATCAAGGCGGCATTAGTTACGGTTTCATAACATAATGTGTAATCTTTTGAATGAAACCAATTTTCAAAGATAAACCACTCACCAAGACAATCAACCCTAAAAGTAACTCATCACATATAGATCAACTTAAAAATACTCACTACTACCACAAATTATTATTAAGAGATACATTTGCATTTATACTGCATAATATGCTAGTTGAAGACCACATGAGTGAAGGGGTTAAAACAAGGTTAAATTTTTATCAATCAGAAAATTCTGATATAGAATCTACATACTACTATAGCAGTTGTTGACGGCTGCCACGGTCGGTTACTGTATAACATAAAATTAATAGATGAACAAGCTTATCAGGAGGCTGAAGTTAAATATTTATTGGGCTGTCTGACATTGAAAATGTGATCGAGCTGTTAAAGTTTAAGACATTAACAGTACGACAGAAACACAGGGTAATGTTCTTTTAAATTTTATCCTTTTAAAAGCCTTAATTACTTGTCACTCTACAATTTCAGTTCTTTAACAAGCTTGCATCTGATGTTGTTACTATAGACAAATTATGTCTTAATGTATAAGAACCAACTCTTATACAAGAACTATTGTTACATCTTCGCAGCAATCTCATCTCTGTTTAATGTTTTTTTTAATGACAAATGTTAACATTGTGTTGGAGTGAGGATCAAACCTTTGATCTCCTTATCACTCTATTTCTGAACTCCTTCGCCTAAACCATCGGGACCAAGTCAATCTTATATCTCTCATCTCCCTCCAAACTATGATACTCAAAAAAACATATTCTTAACTAAAAAACCTAGCAAGATCTCAGCCTTGCAGATGCTCTTAGGTATCAAAGTATTAGCAATACAGAATCAATAGTCTCACAACAAACTTGCCAAAATACTGAAATTTTCATTCCCAAAACATTTGCATTTCAAGTTCTCTACCATACGCAGTATCTAAAATTGATATAAAAAAATATAAAAAACATCTATGTCACAGTATTTTATGCATAAATCAAAACAACGGTTAAAAAATCTAACCATTGAACAATTCAATAATTATTTGAAAATTGAAAGAAAAAACAAACCCTAAAAAACAAGTAATCACAATATTTGATAAATACCATAAGATTAACATTGATTCAAACTAATCGATGAATAAAAAACAGAAAGAGAAAGGGATACCAGAAAGGAATTGCAGTTGCAGAGAGATCAAGGCAAAGAGGAAAGGGTTTCGCGGAGATCTTCGGGGTTGCATCATGCCTCTCTCTTTCTCTCTCTAGAAAATCACTCTCTCTCTAGAAAATCTAGTTGGGATGTTACTTCAAACTATTTCACAAAGCTGCGATCTAACATCAAATTCCAGCTACGTTAATTGCGTTTCCTTTGTTTTTCTGCGAAGACACTATTATACCTGATTTTCACACATTTTATTCAACTTTGTTTTCTTTTTTATTAATATATATGTAGTCAACATAATTAAATAATTAATTTTAAATTTTTTAGTAATCTTAACTCTAATTTATATTTGAAATGCAATCTATTTTTTCCTTCCTCCATCTTACGATAGATGCTTTATTTATTTATTTTATTTGTTTTGAATTATTTGTCATTTTAAAATATTAATATAATATTTATCATTTCTTTCCACTCATTTATTCTTATATGTTATATTTTATTTAACTATTGCAGTATCTATTATCAATAAAATTTATTTTATTATTGAAATCAACATAATTAATCATTATTTTAAAAATTGTGAAAATCTCAACAAAAAAACACCTAATATGAGACGGAAAAATTACATATTGATTTTATTATCCTAGCTTCAAACCATCTCTAAATTATATTGCGTCAATGTTATAATAGGAGTTTATTCAAATCAAACCATATTGCTTTAATGATTACTTTTTTTACCTTTAAGAATGTTTCCACATCAACGTGAAAAAGTCTCAACTGCCCCTAACATCTGAGCATGCATTTTCAGACACATCTTTTTTACACACTCTTTAAATGAAATTGTTGAAAAAATCTTACTCAATTAAAATTTAATTTAGAGATGCATCTTTATATGCATAAAGGGATAATTCAGAGATGCATCTCTATAACGTCCCTTATTTCAATATTAAGTGAGTTTTTCAGGGAAACATCTTTGGAATATCCTCTGTTTAGTTCAAACCATAAATAACTAGGAACAATGACAGAATGAAAAAACAACATGAATTAATATCAAAATAAACATTACATAGATAATTGTTAATGTTAACATAAATTTAACATTACATGTCATTACAAACGGGTGGTTTGGGACACTGCAACATTCTTATAATATCTTCAGTTGATCTTTTAATTGTCGTATCCACTTGAATCGAACACTTTGTCGAGTAACGGTAAAAGATACTCCATATAACCTTTAAATCATCATTTGTCTTCAGTTCAAGCATGGTGAACCGTATCTTCCCTTCATTGTCAATTGATGGTAAATGATACTCAAGCTTGAAAATTCTCCAATTTTCTAGATACCGCATGAGAGTATTCAGCTGAATTTCAGATCGGCTAGAAGTATGTCCTCAGAGGCCCTAAATTGAAGTGGGGTATTTGCGTCATTGAAATACACAAATTCAAGATAAGGATATGTATTCATTATGGTTTTTGTAAAGAAAATGGACGTATTTCGAAAATGCATCTCTAGATAGACCTTATTTTTTAAAAAGAATAAAGGTCTTTATAAAGATGCATATCTGTATAGTCCACTGTTTTGTTTTTTTTTTAATAATTAAAAGGTGTGTCGGGAGATGCATTTTTGGATCCATCTAAACTATTGTTCATACATAATCATCGTATTATGCAGTGCGGAATTTAGAAACACAACAATTATCCAAAAATTACCACCCAATTTTATAATATTACGGACAACATTACACACAAAAAACGAGTTACATTGTTAAATTAAAACTAAAATCTATTAAAGCATGTCTCACTCCCTAAATCTATTAGTGGTTCATTCTTTGAGCTTTCCTTATTTGCTTCTCTTTCAACGTCGCTCAACCTGGTGAACTCTTTCATCCTTTTTATAAAGTGATCCGACAAACTTCCAGCAACTATGGTGAAATGTATCGTCCACTCTGGTGATGTCTTAGGTATAGAGCATCCATTTGTCAAACGGTGTCAGACCACTAAGATAAGGAACAAGAGCATTGAGAATTGAATCGTAATTTTTTCCTATATAGATTTTTGTATGATTTTGTATGTGTCGTCATCTCTTGTATAAGCTAAAGAAGGACTGGTTGGTTGTCCTCCTCTTCTTTACTGAGTAGACCCGGAACAGCTTGAAAACCACAGTTGTCGCCGCCTTTAACATCTACAGTTCGCTCAATGTATTTGTGCATAAAAAGCGAAAACTCTTCAATGTGTTTGATTTTTGGTAACTATAGTAGGGGAGATGATTTGCTACTGTGGGGACTCTTGAAAACACTATTTTGGGATTCTGGAGTCGGAGAATCCAAAAAATGTGAGTCAACATGTTCAAAGTATGAAGGAAACTGTATCGTGGATTTGTCACTTTGTTTCAGTTTGACCTTTTTAGTGGCACCCTTTGTTTTAACCGATTCTGAGGATGGTTTCAAATTTGTTGTTTTTGAACAGGTAATCTTCCTTAGTTGCTCTTTAATGTACAATTTCATGATGTCATCAGCTTTTATGAATCTCTCTTGGATCACTTCCCACTCGGTCATGATAGATATGTTTTATGTATTATCCTTCATCACACCATCATCACCGTCATCATCATCAAAATGGAGCTTTTCTAGTGAGTTTAAACTTCATCCATAATTATTAGTTTTTCATGCTTCATCTTATTTGAAATTAAACAAACGCATGTAAGAATGTAGTCTTCCTAAGTGTACATCCACACTTTGAGCTATTTGAACATGTTTTATGTGCTCGCTTGGCTTCGTGAAAAATAAAATTCAATGTCGCATGAAATGCATTGCCAACCAACTGTGAATAAAGTATGTTATTTTTGCATCAATGTTCTAACAAAGTAATTCTCCGACCAAAAGATGTTTGTATCTCATTATGTTGGTTTTAGATTATTTGGTTCACAATGTCCCAATCTTGATAAAAATCACATTTATTGTTTTCTAACCAATTATTCAGTCTAGCATGTGCAAATCAACTTTTTTGTTTGTTGTATTGCCAAAGTGTGTAACCTGATTGGTCCATGCACAAACAATCTTCTCTTTGATCTGGCCCAAAATAGTAGTCCCAACATATTTCAAGAAATCTGGATATTTCTCACACACCGTCCTTAAATATATTATAGATTCGACATATAACTCTTTCGTGAAAGAATTTATTATCCCATTCCTGCATCCATTATCTTTTCCAACAGCACACAAGGTTTGACCATTTTCACATTTGATTTGTTTGGTGCCTGCCGCAGGTTTTAGTCGACTTCTCACATTTTTGGTTATGCGATACTTACAAAGTAATGCATACGATGTAGGAAACACGGTTGTAACTGAATTCATCAGTGAGGTGTCGTGATCGAGGGACAATTACATTTGGCATGTTTACTTAATCCTTCTGCATTGTCTTGCATATTTCCCAACCCCATGTAACATTGTCCTCTTTTTTGGACGCCAAAAATGCAAAACTGAATGAAAAAGTCATCTTTGTAGAAGTAACACCAACATTTTCAGGAGTGGAAGTCTATACTTGTTGGTTTTGTATTTTGAATCAATTGTGAGCACAATGGGAAATATGTTGAACAATTTTATGGAATCGAGATGAGTCCAAAATATATCTGGAACGATGAAGTTATCCTCACAAACTTTATACCTAGAAACATGGTGGTCATCTTATAAATGGTTCAAAAGTTGTTGTATCTCAGATTTTGGTCCTCTTATTGTAACACCCTAAAACCTCGACACATAAATTAAAGAATAAAGCAACCTTTTAGGATGCTACTCAAACATAACATACATAATTTCTAATTAATTTCAAAACTCGCAGCAGAATTCAAAATAAATGTCATAGACTTCAATTATCTCATTAAACTGAAATATTCAATAAAATTAACATGATCCAATGGTTAGCTCAAAACAAATACAACACCTTGTTCTTAATTTTGCATATTAGAGTATTAAACAAACTAAATAGCGATAAACGATAAAATAAACGAAGAAAAGCTCCAAGGCCATCTTCCAACTCACAATAGTACTTACTCTTCCTGAGTATCTATACAACAATGTACTGAGAAATACAAGACAACCAAGAAATGGGTGAGAATACACTTAAATATATTAACAGTGTAAAAGAATGCAAGGGTAACTTAAATTACATAATCTGCAACATACATTCAATTTACACTACAATACAACAATCAACTCACATAGCCTTTATGTATGCAATTTGACTCACAGCTAAACTCAATGCACGTGGTACCAATTTGAACATTAGAGGTTTGTTACTAATCTTGTCCATTCAACAATGGTTCCTCGTTCAAACCGGGTCCCAACCTCTGAACCCCGGGTCCCAAGATTTGAACCCCGAACGATCACCAATACACACTTCTGAACCAATGGCTCGACTCTTTCAACACATAGACACAAAATGATGAATGCCATAAAACTAATGTAGCAACTACGACAACAACACTTATGGCTTCACTTATAACCATAAGAAATAATGCAATACAACATTCACAGTAGTCCCCATTTCTTAACTACTCACCTCAACACAAATAATTATAATTACATTCACAACACATGATTATACAATCCACATCACATCTCACATCAACACATGTAATTATAACTCAACATATAATTATACAAACATTCTGAAACCTATAACTATATTCATTATCACAAAATTATAACGACAACTCACAAGTCATACACATAAGTATAATTCACAACTTATTAAAATCATTATGATATTTTATCACCAAAAGTTGTCATGCTTTTCATCAACACATAATATCCTTCACTCAGAACACTCCAACATCACAAACTCAAGACATGGTAACCATCAAGTCATGATTACATGATGATTATTCAATAATCTTCTCGTAAGACTTATTGCAAGTAAACATACTATTTATATTTTCATGCACACCCTCTAATTAAGCCTAATAAGGTATTACTTTGCGTCAGCTACCCAACGCTTAGAACCATGCTTCAAACGGATATATGAAACTTAAGTTATGATGAAGACAATATTTTGGACAAAATATGCCTTCATGATTCAAATCAT